CCCAGAGCAGGAGGAGGGCTACCCACAATGCATCTGGGGGAGGGTCCCCTCACCTGAGCAGGTGTGAGTGGACCCTCCTCCTGATGCAGCGTGGGTAAAATTACCCTATTTTACATGGGGCTCTGGACCCAGAACTCCTTACCAAAACGACCTTATTTATAAAGGTTCCCTAAACTATTATAATCATTTACAAACTCCCAAAATCATTGAATTTCACACCGGAGTCTGAGACCAAACTCATTCAGTGTTATTCTGGTCCCCAAACAAAACACATGAAGGAACATCTTCAGCAACTTGACAACACATGCAGCATTTAGAGAACATTCAGCAACTTGAGGAGACATGCACAGCGTTTACTAAAAGCTGGTCAACTTTATAATCCTGAACGTCACCAAGCGCTCTGTGCGTCACTCTTTAGTGTCCCCTGGTCTCCCAGCTGTGTGCGTCACTCTTTAGTGTCCCCTGGTCTCCAGCTGTGTGCGTCACTCTTTAGTGTCCCCTGGTCTCCAGCTGTGTGTGTCACTCTTTAGTGTCCCCTGGTCTCCAGCTGTGTGTGTCACTCTTTAGTGTCCCCTGGTCTCCAGCTGTGTGTGTCACTCTTTAGTGTCCCCTGGTCTCCAGCTGTGTGTGTCACTCTTTAGTGTCCCCTGGTCTCCAGCTGTGTGCGTCACTCTTTAGTGTCCCCTGGTCTCCAGCTGTGTGTGTCACTCTTTAGTGTCCCCTGGTCTCCAGCTGTGTGCGTCACTTTTTAGTGTCTCCTGGTCTCCAGCTGTGTGCGTCACTTTCTAGTGTCCCCTGTTCTCCCAGCTGTGTGCGTCACTCTTTAGTGTCCCCTGGTCTCCCAGCTGTGTGCGTCACTCTTTAGTGTCCCCTGGTCTCCCAGCTGTGTGCGTCACTTTTTAGTGTCCCCTGGTCTCCCAGCTGTGTGCGTCACTCTTTAGTGTCCCCTGGTCTCCCAGCTGTGTGCGTCACTCTTTAGTGTCCCCTGGTCTCCCAGCTGTGTGCGTCACTCTTTAGCGTCCCCTGGTCTCCCAGCTGTGTGCGTCACTCTTTAGTGTCCCCTGGTCTCCCAGCTGTGTGCGTCACTCTTTAGTGTCCCCTGGTCTCCCAGCTGTGTGCGTCACTCTTTAGCGTCCCCTGGTCTCCCAGCTGTGTGCGTCACTCTTTAGTGTCCCCTGGTCTCCCAGCTGTGTGCGTCACTCTTTAGTGTCCCCTGGTCTCCAGCTGTGTGCGTCACTCTTTAGTGTCCCCTGGTCTCCAGCTGTGTGCGTCACTCTTTAGTGTCCCCTGGTCTCCAGCAGCTGTGTGTTTTTTTTTTTTTTTTTTTTTTATTGAACATTTTTTTAAACATACAAAAGCTCGGTGAGGATATCATCAACTTATCAACATAAGTTCAAGACATTCATTCACAATAAGACAAAAAAACATAACTAATACATCCAGTAAGAGCCAGGGGGAAAGAAAAAAGCATAAAGGCACAAAAACATTTAAGAGGCATTAAGCTTACTTAAAATAATAACCATTTGGAAATGTCATTGCAAATCTTTATAGACAGGTTACAAGATTGTATTTTTCTAAGGGACAGAAAAAAGGACTTGAACTCATTTATGAAACAGGGAAAGGAGGGCTTGCCTCCTCTCCATTTACTACAATGTAAATGGTATTTACCCAAAATAATAATTATATTTACCAAATCAGAAATGGGAGAGTCCAAATTATCAATATAATATAAAATGTGATATATTTTGAAGGCCGGAATATTTGTTAATTTAAGTAACAACCAATCTCTCACATTCGACCAAAACAATTCAGAAAAGGGGCAAGAGAAAAATAAATGTTCCAACGATTCATCAGATAAATTACAAAAGGAACATGGGTCCACTTCAAATTTAAATCTTGAATTTAAAAAAGTAGCTGTGTGTGTCACTCTTTAGTGTCCCCTGGTCTCCCAGCTGTGTGCGTCACTCTTTAGTGTCCCCTGGTCTCCCAGCTGTGTGCGTCACTCTTTAGTGTCCCCTGGTCTCCCAGCTGTGTGCGTCACTCTTTAGTGTCCCCTGGTCTCCCAGCTGTGTGCGTCACTCTTTAGTGTCCCCTGGTCTCCCAGCTGTGTGCGTCACTCTTTAGTGTCCCCTGGTCTCCCAGCTGTGTGCGTCACTCTTTAGTGTCCCCTGGTCTCCCAGCTGTGTGCGTCACTCTTTAGTGTCCCCTGGTCTCCGTTGTGTTTGAGCTTCTTCAGCGTTTGGTTTCTGCAGCTTTTAGTAAACGCTGCGCATGTCTCCTCAAGCTGCTGAATGTTCTCTAAATGCTGCATGTGTTGTCAAGTTGCTGAAGATGTTTCTTCATGTGGAACATTTGTGTTTTTATATCTGCATCCTTTCTGAAGCTGCAGCGTGTTTCTCCTGATGGAAGAGTGTTTGTCCCGGTTGGTCACCGTAGGTGTTGGATAATTGAGGGAATCATATCATTTTAAACAGAAGTCGTAATTTCCTCAATAAATTCCACAGATTTTAAACTGGACACTGTTTTCCTGCAGTGCTGTGTGTACAGTGTGTACAGTGTGTGTACAGTGTGTGTACAGTGTGTGTACAGTGTGTACAGTGTGTGTACAGTGTGTGTACAGTGTGTGTACAGTGTGTGTACAGTGTGTACAGTGTGTGTTCAGTGTGTGTACAGTGTGTACAGTGTGTGTACAGTGTGTTCAGTGTGTGTACAGTGTGTGTACAGTGTGCGTTCAGTGTGTACAGTGTGTACAGTGTGTGTACAGTGTGTGTACAGTGTGTGTTCAGTGTGTGTACAGTGTGTGTACAGTGTGTGTTCAGTGTGTGTACAGTGTGTGTACAGTGTGTGTACAGTGTGTGTTCAGTGTGCGTACAGTGTGTGTACAGTGTGTGTTCAGTGTGTGTACAGTGTGTGTACAGTGTGTGTACAGCAGTGGCGGACTGGCCATCGGGACGCTCGGGACGAATCCCGATGGGCCGGTACTGAAGTGGGCCGGTCGGACGATATGGGCCGGTCGGATAAGTCACTAGCACCCCCCCCCCAGTAGACAATTCACTAGTGGTACCGAAGTGGGCCGGTCGAGATGCATGGGCTGATTTTTAGTCCCAGTCCGCCCCTGGTGTACAGTGTGTGTTCAGTGTGTGTTCAGTGTGTGTTCAGTGTGTGTACAGTGTGTACAGTGTGTGTTCAGTGTGTGTACAGTGTGTACAGTGTGTGTTCAGTGTGTGTACAGTGTGTACAGTGTGTACAGTGTGTGTTCAGTGTGTACAGTGTGTGTTCAGTGTGTGTACAGTGTGTGTTCAGTGTGTGTTCAGTGTGTGTACAGTGTGTGTACAGTGTGTACAGTGTGTGTACAGTGTGTACAGTGTGTGTTCAGTGTGTGTACTGTTTGTACAGTGTGTGTTCAGTGTGTGTACAGTGTTTACAGTGTGTACAGTGTGTGTTCAGTGTGTGTACAGTGTGTACAGTGTGTGTTCAGTGTGTGTTCATTGTGTACAGTGTGTACAGTGTGTGTACAGTGTGTGTTCAGTGTGTGTGTGTTCAGTGTGTGTTCAGTGTGTGTTCAGTGTGTGTGTGTTCAGTGTGTGTTCAGTGTGTGTTCAGTGTGTGTTCAGTGTGTGTTCAGTGTGTGTTCAGTGTGTGTTCAGTGTTACTTTGGGTCAGGTCTAATCTGGTAATCTAATAATCCGTGCAACAGGTTTCATCCTTGTTTCATGTTGTTGACATGTTAGTGTGAAAGGTCTCTACAGAGTGAGTCTCTTTGTATCTCTTCATAAACCAGTGAATACGGACATAAAGAGTGTTTATGAATGAGGTGTGAACAGTTTCAGAATATAGAGAGATGACTGCTGAGAGAGGAGGAGAAATAAAAGGAGGTGAAGACATTTGAGAAACATTTTAGAGACAAAAAGTTTAATATTGTAGACCATTGAAATAATTCAAATAACATTTCTGAGAATAATGTTTAATTAAAAAGGTCAAAAAAACTAATAAATATTTCCGAATGTCTTTTTTGTTATATTACTATTTTTAAAGTCTTAATAATGTCAGAAAAAAGTTTCAATACATTCAGGAAAACATCTGAGCGAAGTACAACTTAAAAAAAACTTCTTTTGAAGAAATCAATTTGGAGGTAAAGACATTTGAGAAACATTTTAGAGAGAAAAAGTTAAAATATTAAAAAGAGAAAATCGAGAATTTGGAGGAATAATGATGATTTAGTGGAAAGTATTCAAGTGAACATTCCAGAGTACATTATCAAATATTCTATGAAAGATAATCAGAAAAACGTTTTTGTCGGTAAAGTTTTTAGGAAACAGCTTCTTGAGATCTGGATTGTAAAATACATGTTGTTACTGCGCAGGTTCAACCGTAACCAACAGACATCACCTCTGACATTAACACCGTTCTTTCTACTCTCCTGTAACCTTCTATGTATGTCAGGAAACTGTCTGTTGGTTTTGCTTTGTAGTTATGGATCTGCTATGTCAGAATCAGAATACCTTTATTAGTCCCACAGAGGGGACATTCACATTGTGACCGCAGAAAAGAGCCGAAGACAGTTTAATGTTACCTAGAAGCATGCATACAAAATATTAAAGATTAATACATTATAATACAAAAAAGTTACACAATTTACAAAACACACATCCTGTAACAGTTCTGAGGATTTAGCAGCCAGGTATATATTGCACAGTTATTAACGGCATATATATATATTTCACATATATACATAGTTGGTTGGTATTTAACAACAAGGAGTCATCACTGAGTTTGTACAAATTAAGAAACATCAATATACTTAGTGTTTACATTTTCATAAAGTACATGTTCTCTGAAATACCACTACAGTAATCAGAGTTTTTCCAAATTGAAGCTGAAGGTGCGTTCAGGTGTCAGGTTCCTGAGAAAGCTGCAGGTGATACCTGAGGGTGGGGGGGGGGGGGGGGGGGGGGGGGGTGTCTAGGAACACCTGCTCACTGGATGTTTCTGTGCTTCAGGTTACAAGACACTGCTCAGAGGGATTTCTGGGAAGTTCACCAGCGGGGACCTGGTGGCCATCATGGGGCCCTCAGGAGCCGGGAAGTCCACCCTGATGAACATCCTGGCCGGGTTCAGGTGGGTACTCACTGCATACTCACTGCATACTCACTGCATACTCACTGCATACTCACTGTATACTCACTGCATACCTCCAGTAAGAGCACTTACTATTTCTATAGCACTTATAGGAATATCCTGTATGTAACAATGACTGAGTGTTAGATCGCCCTCTGGTGGCCCAGGAGAAAATCACCCAGCTTTGAGAACACTTTAATGATCAATCATTATAAAACATATCATATATATTATTCTGAAATGGACCAATCTGCACAATGACTACTTTTACTGTCGCTACTTTTGCTATATTTTTATGATAATACTTTTCTATTTTTACTTGAATGCAGGACTTTTACTGTAACAGAGTATTCCTACACTCTGGTACTTCTACTTTTACTAAACACGATCTGAGTACTTCTCCCCCCTCTGCGTATGTGTACTGTGTGTACTGTGTGTACTGTGTGTACTGTGTGTACTGTGTATAATGTGTGTAATGTGTGTACTGTGTGTACTGTGTGTCCTGTGTGTCCTGCAGACAGACAGGGATAAAGGGGGAGATCCTGATCAACAATCTTCCCAGAGACCTGAGATCCTTCCGGAAGGTTTCCTGTTACATCATGCAGGACGACATGCTGCTGCCGCACCTCAGCGTGCAGGAGGCCATGATGGTACTGTGCAGTACAAGTACACGCATTACTGTGTTACTGCAGTACAAATACACGCATTACTGTGTTACTGCACTACAAGTACACACAATACTGTGTTACTGCACTACAAGTACACACAATACTGTGTTACTGCACTACAAGTACACACAATACTGTGTTACTGCACTACAAGTACACACATTACTGTGTTACTGCTGTTAAAGTATACTCAATACTGTGTTACTGCGGTACAAGTACACACAATACTGTGTTACTGCTGTTAAAGTATACTCAATACGGTGTTACTGCAGTGCAAGTACACACAATACTGTGTTCTCTTTACTCTCTGCAGGTCTCTGCTAACCTGAAGCTGCAGGAGAAGAAGGAGGCTCGCAGAGAAATGGTGAGTGTGTGTGTGTGTGTGTGTGTGTGTGTGTGTGTGTGTGTGTGTGTGTGTGTGTGTGTGTGTGTGTGTGTGTGTGTGTAACAAATACATATTTTATTTAAAACATAAATAACTAAAACAATATCTCTTAGTGAATTAAATAAACAAAATATATCTAAACTATTTTTACAGAAATAATTATACTTGACATTTGCGTGTGTGTGTGTGTGTGTGTGTGTGTGTGTGTGTGTGTGTGTGGGTGTGTGTGTGTGTGTGTGTGTGTGTGTAACATATACATATTTAATTAAATAAATAACAAATAAGTAAAATATATATTTTTTTAAATCTCTATGTTAGGGTTAGGGTTAGTATAAATAAACAACATATATTTAAACTACTGCTACAAAACTAATTAAAAGTGATCTCTGTTTGTGTGTGTGTGTGTGTGTGTGTGTGTGTGTGTGTGTGTGTGTGTGTGTGTGTGGCCTATCATTGCTATCCTTGTGGGGACCTACATCTGTTTACACAGTCACGTGTGGGGACTGGCTTCCCTTATGGGGACAACATGGAGGTCCACATGAGGGGAATTATTAATTTTAGGGTGAAGACTTGGTTAGGGTTAGGCATGTGTTGGTTAGGGTTAAGGTTAGGATAAGTCTCCAGGAAATGCATGTAAGTCAATGTAGGTCCCCTTAAGTAATGTATACATGGTATGTGTGTGTTTGTGTGTGTGTGTGTGTGTGTGTGTGTGTGTGTGTGTGTGTGTGTGTGTTTGTGTGTGTGTGTGTGTGTGTGTGTGTGTGTGTGTGGGTGTGTTTGTGTGTGTGTGTGTGTTTGTTTGTGTGCAGGTGAAGGACATCCTGGTGGCTCTGGGTCTTCTGGACTGCGCTCTCACCCGGACGTCTCACCTGTCGGGGGGGCAGAGGAAGAGGCTGGCGATCGCTCTGGAGCTTGTCAACAATCCGCCCGTCATGTTCTTCGACGAGCCCACCAGGTGAATATAAACATAACAAAAATAGTAAGAATAAAAATAAGAATACAATAAAATAAGAATAAAAATATAAAAGAATATGAAAATAAGTATGCATTTAAATAATTTTAAATTAATACAATGTTAATATTACGGAGCCCCTAAAGGGTCATGAAAGAAAAAAAAGAGAACAAGTTACTTTCAAGATACTTTCTTGAAAGTATCTTGAAAGTTACCGGTGTGCCAAGTAGGCGCGTTGGTGACCGGACATCTCCTTCATAAAACGAGTAATAGGTGGAATAATCGGGCAGTTTGATGTGTGTAGAGGTGTGTGTGTGTGTGTGTGTGTGTGTGTGTAGAGGTGTGTGTGTGTGTGTGTGTGTGTGGAGGTGTGTGTGTGTGTGTGTGTGTAGAGGTGTGTGTGTGTGTGTGTGTGTGTGTGTGTGTGTGTGTGTGTGTGTGTAGAGGTGTGTGTGTGTGTAGAGGTGTGTGTGTGTGTGTGTGTGTAAAGGTGTGTGTGTGTGTGCGTGTAGAGGTGTGTGTATGTGTGTGCGTGTGTGTGTGTAGAGGTGTGTGTGTAGAGGTGTGTGTGTGTATGTGTGTGTGTGTGTGTGTGTGTGTGTGTGTGTAGAGGTGTGTGTGTGTGTGTGTGTGCGTGCGTGCGTGTATAGGTGTGTGTGTGTGTGTGTGTAGAGGTGTGTGTGTAGAGGTGTGTGTAGAGGTGTGTGTGTGTGTGTGTGTGTGTGTGTGTGTGTGTGTAGAGGTGTGTGTGTGTGTATGTGTGTGTGTAGAGGTGTGTGTGTGTATGTGTGTGTGTGTGTAGAGGTGTGTGTGTGTGTGGCGTGTAGAGGTGTGTGTGTGTGTGTGTCGAGGGTGTGTGTGTGTGTGTGTGTGTGTGTGTGTGTGTGTGTGTGTAGAGAGTGTGTGTGTGTGTGTGTGTGTGTGGTGTGTGTGTCAGAGGTGTGTGTGTGTGTGTGTGTGTTTGTGTGTGTGTGTCGAGGTGTGGTGTGTTGTTGTGTGTAGAGGTGTGTGTGTGTGTAGAGGTGTGTGTGTGTGTGTGTGTGTGTCGCGGGTGTGTGTGTGTGTGTACGCGGTGTGTGTGTGTGTAGAGGTTTGTGTGTGTGTGTAGAGGTGTGTGTGTGTGTGTAGAGGTGTGTGTGTGTGTGTAGAGGTGTGTGGTGTGTGTGTAGAGGTGTGTGTGTGTGTGTAGAGGTGTGTGTGTGTGTGTGTGTGTGTGTGTGTGTGTGTGTGTGGGAGGCAGAGCCTCACCTGTCATACTCCAATGTAACGGAAAAACAACTAAAGAAAAACGAAATAGTAATAATAATAAAATGTCTCCACTGATCTTGTTGTAAGTGTGATTTATGTATGATTCTAATCGCTTTTTATAGTCAAAATCAGCAAATTTGCCGAGCTCCGCTACGGGAGCGATGAGAAGTGAGGCAGGCACGTGCTCTGCCTCTCGTAAGCCCACAGTAACTTGCTGGAGCGCGGGCACTAATTTAGCGCGGCCACTTATTTTGTGAGCGCGCTCAAGCCATTTACTGTGGGATGAGGTGAGGCACAGATGAGCTCTGCCTCACCTCAGAATGCGTCACCCCACAGAAACTGGCTGGAAAGCGGGCCCTAAGCGCATGCCTGTTACCATCTCACTGTATGTCACCAATGTAATGTTTGTAGATCCCTTTATTACATTTATCCTCGCCATCCATAGTCTCTAAATAACTTATTTCACGTAAATATGATATTTAGGCTCGTTGGTCTCATCATACAACGGCAATGAAAAAATCACCAGGAGAGGCAGCCATAACCTCTGCCGCACTGAAGGGGGCGCACGTGAGCCCACAGGTTCTTGTTGCTACTGTTATTCTACCGCAAACAACAAAGAAACTAGACTTTTGAAACTAGAGGGAGATAAGGAGGACTTTTACAAAACAGTAATAGAGATTGTTGTCCAGAAGGATAGCATGGACTTCATCTTCAAGTCAAGGTAAGACCACAACTGTAATGAAAATGGGATCTTACTAAGAAAGAACAATCCAATATTTAGATTTTGGGTATCCTTTTGTTGAACGGTCTGTTTAAAATTAATCATAGCATCAGACTAAAAAAGCTTTTGAAAATAACAGAATATTTCGATTAAGGTCAAAATAGGCTATAATATTTGTAAATCTGACTCTGAAAGAGTCAGTGCCTCACCAGCCATGAACCTCACCGCACGTCACTGGTGTAGAGGTGTGTGGTGAAATCGTAGCAGCCTGCGCTCTTTAGCTGTTCTAATGAAGGTGAAGGCACAGCTCTCTGCCTCCTGGTGCTGCTCTTGTCAGAGCTCTGAGTCACACGTCCCGTTGCCTCCTGGTGCTGCAGAGATTTCATGAAGAGAAAGAGGTGTTCCTTCTTTAAAGCAGCTGTGGGCAGCAGGTACTCTGAGAGGCACGGACATGAATTCATAGATCAAGGCAGACTGGTTTACAGACTCTTCTGTTTTGCAGATCCGGCGCTTAAACAAATAGCTCTACACCCCTGACCGAAATGTCCTCAAAATGAAGTCTGAGTTCGAGATATATCTCAAATAATGTATGCACTGCCATTTCCCCACGTCAACATAACAGTCTGCACTGAAACGTGGGTCTCCTGTGCGCTGCTCTTCCTCCTTTAAGCACCGGTAAAGTCTATCGTGCGAACGAGAAACTTTCTCTCTCTCACTTCCTCGACCCTTTAGGGGCTCCGTATAATATAAATAAATGTAAATATATAAATTAAATGTGAATTAAATGTAAATATACATTTAAATATAAATGATAAATACATTTTTCTAAAGTGATTTTTACTGCTCTCATCAATATTTTCCACAGCAACTATTAGTACTTGATTTCAGTAACCAAAACCAGCAACTGATTTAAATACATCTGTACATAAATTGATGTGTGTGTGTGTGTGTGTTTGTGTGTGTGTGTATGTGTGTGTGTGTGCGTGTGTGTGTTTGTGTGTGTGTGTGTGCGCTTGTGTGTGTGTGTGTCAGTGGTCTGGACAGCTCGTCCTGTTTCCAGGTCCTCTCCCTGCTGAAGGCTCTCGCTCAGGGGGGAAGGACCGTCGTCTGCACCATCCACCAACCCAGCGCCAAACTGTTCGAACTGTTCGACAAGGTACACACACACACACACACACACACACACACACACACACACACACACACACACACACACACACACACACACACACACACACACACACACACACACACACACACACACACACACACACACACACACACACACACACACACACACACACACACACACACACACACACACACACACACACACACACACACACACACACACACACACACACTAAATAAAGTCTTTGTTGACCCAACTGGTTTCTTTTATACACAGATGTCCCAGCGCCGGTGAAATGATATGATGCTTGTTGCCATTTAAATGAAACATCACCTTGTCACATGACTTCACGTCACCACCGCTAAGCTAAAGGTGGCTAATGTTGGTCTGATGACATTTAGTCGTCTCATTTAGACACTTGTTAGCAACCTCAATTTTTGTATTCACCAGTGGGGTATTTACTGACATATTTCATGTCGTAGAACAAAAATCTCCTCAGCTTGAGTTAACCACAGACTTTATTTCAGGATAACAACCAAGAACACATTCAGGAAACCTTTGAGGAGGAAACAGGAAGTGCGATATGATGTAGTTTTATATATCCTGTATGATTGATGGTGTGTAATGTGTGTGTTGCAGCTGTACGTGCTGAGTCAGGGTGAGTGTATCTACAGGGGGAAGGTCTCCAGGCTGGTTCCCTACCTGAGGGAGCTCGGACTGAACTGCCCCACCTACCACAACCCTGCTGACTTCGGTGAGTCTACATCTTGAATTATTCTCCAATCAGAACCTTCAATTCCTTTATTAGAAATGTACAGTGTTTCAGCAAAAGAGGCACGTGTAAAGGACGTGTGTACTTTTGCCCTCTCTGGTGTTCAGTGATGGAGGTGGCGTCCGGAGAGCACGGGGATCAGATGGAGCGCCTGGTGACGGCCGTGCAGGACAGGAAGTGGGAGAAGGACGATCAGACGGAGCTGAACGGAGACACTAACCTCCACCCGCTCCCGTGGCAGCGCACAGAGGAGGTGAAAAACAAACGCACCCCACACACAAGTGTCCAGCTTTTCAAAGTAAAACACTCATCTGGCTGAAGCTGCTTTCAGGAGTGACCTCTTCAGGAAAAACAAGAGGGTTTTAGCTCATGTTCAAAAAGTATAAGTAGTCTTTATTTGTTATTCTTATCGTTGTTGTCTCAGGAGTGTTCTTCGTCTGAAGGTTGTCACAGTTTCTCAGCCAGCTGCATGACTCAGTTCTCCATCCTCTTCAGAAGAACCTTCCTCAGCATCCTCCGAGACTCAGTGAGAGAACAGCAACCGTCATAATGCTGACTCATGACAGGGTGGACTCATAATGCTGACTCATGACAGGTTGTTAGGACTCATAATGCTGACTCATGTCAGGGTTTAGGACTCATAATGCTGACTCATGTCAGGGTTTAGGACTCATAATGCTGACTCATGTCAGGGTTTAGGACTCATAATGCTGACTCATGTCAGGGTTTAGGACTCATAATGCTGACTCATGTCAGTGTGTTAGGACTCATAATGCTGACTCATGTCAGTGTGTTAGGACTCATAATGCTGACTCATGTCAGTGTGTTAGGACTCATAATGCTGACTCATGTCAGTGTGTTAGGACTCATAATGCTGACTCATGACAGGGTGTTAGGACTCATAATGCTGACTCATGTCAGTGTGTTAGGACTCATAATGCTGACTCATGAAAGGGTGTTAGGACTCATAATGCTGACTCATGTCAGGGTGTTAGGACTCATAATGCTGACTCATGAAAGGGTGTTAGGACTCATAATGCTGACTCATGACAGGGTGTTAGGACTCATAATGCTGACTCATGTCAGGGTTTAGGACTCATAATGCTGACTCATGAAAGGGTGTTAGGACTCATAATGCTGACTCATGTCAGTGTGTTAGGACTCATAATGCTGACTCGTGTCAGGGTGTTAGGACTTATAATGCTGACTCATGTCAGGGTGTTAGGACTTATAATGCTGACTCATGACAGGGTGTTAGGACTTATAATGCTGACTCATGTCAGGGTTTAGGACTCATAATGCTGTCTCATGTCAGGGTGTTAGGACTTATAATGCTGACTCATGTCAGGGTGTTAGGACTTATAATGCTGACTCATGACAGGGTGTTAGGACTTATAATGCTGACTCATGTCAGGGTTTCAGTACTTATAATGCTGACTCATGTCAGGGTGTTAGGACTAAATGCTGAGTTGTGTAAAAGCTGCAGTAACTAACCCCCGCTCTGATTGGTGGAGCAGGTGCTGACTAACCTGAGGATCTCCTCTCACATCGGGATCGGCGTTCTGATTGGTCTGCTGTACCTGGGCATCGGGAACGAGGCGAAGAAGGTCCTCAGTAACTCGGGCTTCCTCTTCTTCTCCATGCTGTTCCTCATGTTCGCTGCTCTGATGCCCACCGTGCTCACATGTGAGTCCCAACAACACATTCACAAGTATCACACCGCAGTTTGAGGTACTAGTACTTTAAGAGAGTATCAGTGAGTGAGTATCTTCTCACACTATCTTACACTTCTACCCTGTGGAGTCATAGAACTACAGAGTGGGGAGAAGTACTCAGATATTGTACTTGAGTCAAAGTAAATTACCAGAATGTAGGAATACTCTGTTACAGCAGAAGTCCTGCATTAAAATCTGTAAAGTAACTATAGGTATTAAATAAATGTAGTGGAGTAAAAGTACACCATTTACCTTTAATATTTACAACTTCTAAATGTTTCCCTCCTCTTATACTCGCTTCTTCTTCGTTGGTGGATATGTGTTTTCTTTAGGAGAAATCTGAAAGTATTTTGTGTTTGACGTGTGATTGTTGTTTGTTCCTCAGTTCCTCTGGAGATGGGAGTGTTTCTGAGGGAACACCTGAACTACTGGTACAGTCTGAAGGCGTATTACCTGGCCAAGACCATGGCGGACGTCCCGTTCCAGGTAGATTACAATTTGAGAATATATTTGAACGTCTGAGAAAAATATTTATTACAAAAATTGAGGACACATTTGAACATTTGGGAAGAAAGTCAAACATTTGAGAAAAAAGTAGAACATTTGATAATTATTTTTACAAATTGAAGAACATTTTGAAAAAAATTGAAAATGGAAAATATATTTTAAGATTCCAGAAAAAATGTAAACATTTCAGATTTTTTTTTTCATAATAAAAACAAAAAATCTAGAATTTTTCTTTTTGAGAACACTTTGTTTTATAAATTGAGAAAAAAAAAAATCAAGAATAAAGTAAAGATTTGGATAAAAATGTTGCACGTCTTTTTAAGATTCTGACGTTTTAAGAGGGTTTACGGTTTCACTTTTCTCAATTAATTTGTTAGCAATAATAAAAACAAGTGTTTTGTAAAATGATGTCCAGGTGGTGTTCCCGGTGGTGTACTGCAGCATCGTGTACTGGATGACGGCTCAGCCTCCAGACGCCGGACGCTTCTTCCTCTTCCTGTCTCTCGGGGTCCTCACCTCGCTGGTGGCTCAGAGTCTGGGGCTGCTCATCGGAGCCGCATCCACCTCGCTGCAGGTAACCTGAACTCACCTGAACTCACCTGTACATGAACTCACTTGAACTCACCTGTACCTGAACTCACCTGTACCTGAACTCACCTCAACTCACCTGTACCTGTACCTGAACTCACCTCAACTCACCTGAACCTGAACTCACCTGTACCTGAACTCACCTGCACCTGTAACCAGGGCCGGTTTTTGGCATAGGCGACATAGGCGGTCGCCTAGGGCGCCAGATCTGGTGGGGCGCAGCGCTGGTAGCTCTGGGAGGGAAAAAAGCATTTTGTACTCATCCTGATTTTGCGCTCAAACTAATTTTCAGCCTTGATGTAACAACATTCATAATTAAGTCAAGGTAACACTCTTTTCACCCCGGTTACACTTTTCATTTGCCCTGTACGATGGGCGCTGTCAGTGATGAAAGTGGGGGATGTTGGCTTATCAGGCGCCCGCAGCTCACAGCCAAAGTGCGAGCGTGGGAGCGAGCGAGAGAGAGAGAGAGAGAGAGAGGGAGCCCCGGTACCGACTATTGTTGTTGTTAGCATCTGGTGCTAGCTGCGCTAACAAATATAAGAAGCTGTTTCTACAAGAAGGTAGAGGGAGAGCTCTCCTGTCAGACTGAGAGGCTCAGTGAGGTAAAGGACTCTCTGAGGGTCAGATAGTTCACTTTAGTCTAAGTTATCTCAGTAGGGTCTCAAACGGTTTGATCACAATTTATGTAAACAAATATTTCAAAGGCACTCCTTTATAATTATTAGGATAAATAAAAACATGTTTTCAAATCATTCCAATGTATACTATAGGACAGTAAACCAAAAATATCCTTCAAACTGGAGATATAAAAAAAAAAAAGCATAAATAAATAAATGTTAACTGGGTAAAATAAGATATAAATGAACAACCAAAATAAAATACGTTACATTTATTTGTTATTGGCTATGGTAGGTTATTGGTTATGTTCACATACTTATTTGATCTTTTTCATATGGGTGTTTAGAGTTGTACCCCCTAGATCAGGTCTCTAGTAATTCTGCTCAAAGTGCACCAGATTGAAGCATTTTGCTTTAAAATGTTAAAACAAATCGTTCCGGGGGGCTTACCTCCGGACCCCCCTAGAGGATGTGACTTCCACACCCCATTTAAAACATGTTCATACAATACTGAATACATTTGAAGCCTTCTTTGTGTATATAACCAACATGTCAATAAGTTTCTGTTTTTGTAGTTTGTTGGTCTTTTGTAGAGATTTTTCATTTATTCTTTAGTCTATTGTGTAATCCTAGGATGCTCTATTGGTCTTTATCGTTTCTACTGTACTGTAGGCCTAAACCAACCTGGGCTCCCCTGTACCTGAACTCACATTAACTCACTTGTACCTGAACTCACCTGCACCTGAACTCACCTGTAACTAAACCCACCTGTACCTGAATTCACCTGTACATAAACCCACCTGTACCTGAACTCACATTATCTCACCTGTAACTAAACCCACCTGTACCTGAACTCACATTATCTCACGTGTACCTGAACCCACCTGTCCTCAGCTGCACCTGAACTCACCTGTACCTGAATTTACCTGTAACTAAACCCACCTGTACCTGAACTCACATTATCTCACCTGTACCTGAACCCACCTGAACCTGTTATCCGTAACGTTGGTGTATTTAAATGTCTCTCCTGGTTTGTTTGTCCTGCAGGTGGCGACGTTTGTTGGTCCGGTCACAGTGATCCCAGTTCTTCTGTTTTCTGGTTTCTTTGTCAGTTTCGACACCATCCCCTGGTACCTGCAGTGGATGTCATACATCTCCTACGTCAGGTGGGGGCGCTGTTTCCTTACAGCACAGAGAGAAGAAGTATCTCATCGTGATATAATGACACTTTGCATATACTTTCACAAAAAAAGGTGGAATTTAGGCCTGAAAAACTGATTAAAAAAAAATCTAATATGAAGAAAAACTCCTTTCTATGAGATTCTACTATTTATTCAGTGTATAATTAGCAGAATTGAAATAGCTAAGCACATTTATTAAGGTTTTGAGATATTATGTTTCCCTTTGTGTTCCCTGTGACGGTCCTTTTGTACTGTCTTAAACCTTTCCTTAGAATAGAATGAATTATTATTATTAATTATTATTACGTTTTGCACATAAAAATGTTTATGATTATTGCATAGAAGAAGAGAAGTGTATATATTGCACATCACAGGTTTATTGCAAAAGATCTCAACTTGTATTGTCGTATTCAACGCTGATCTGAAACATGTCTGCGGGTTTCAAACCAATCTGCTTCCTGTCCGTGTTCCAGGTACGGCTTCGAGGGCGTCATCCTGTCCATCTACAGTCTGGACCGCGAGGACCTGCACTGCGACGCCGCAGAAACCTGCCACTTCCAGAAGTCCGACGCCATCCTGAAGGAGCTGGACATGCTGGACGCCAAACTGTACCTGGACTTCATCATTCTCGCCATCTTCTTCTTCTCGCTCAGGCTCATCGCATACTTCGTCCTGCGGTACAAGATCAGCGCCGAAAGGTAGAGCCCCACGAAGCCGTTAGCGTTTCGTTAACAGACTGTGGGAATACAGTTTCTACTGATACGTTTTTCTAAATCTGATGTATAGGGACAAGGATTAGTGCCGGACATGAGGGAATCAAGAGGGGTTCTGTTTTGAGAAACGTTTAAAAAATAAAGTCCACTTTTTGAGAATAACGTTGAAAATGTGAGAAAACTACATTTGAAAGTAAAGTCATAAATGCTGAGAATTTAGTCGACATGTCGGGATAAAAGAATAATCGGGATTAAAGACTATAGAAACAGAAATGTCGATAAAGACGTTGATATGCCAAGTATATACTTATATACATTTAAAGAATGAAGTAGAAAGATCGTGAATAAAGTTGAACATTTGAGAATTTTTCGGGAAAATCCAGAATGAATTCAAATTGGAGATAACATTTATGAAAATAATTCAAAATTTGAAAATCTGATTATCCTAAAAAATATGAGAAAGAAATTGTGGAAGAAATTGAGAAAAATATTTGAGTAAAAATGTGAACATTCGTGAATAAAGTCAACATTTTGAGAATGAAGATGAACATTTTGTAGATTTCTTAAAGGGTTTTAGGTTTGAATTTTCACAGTAAAATGAAACCTTGTTCTTGTAAAACTACATTCTGCCGGCAGAGGGCAGCACTGCCTCAGGTCCTTCAACACAAAGTAAATATATAACATTTCACTTTATTGTTTTGATGACTAAAAATGAACTTTAATCAGTGCTTTTCACACATTTCTTTCTTAGTTCTCGCATGGAAACATTTTAGATTACCTACATACATGTTTACCTTATATCATTTAAAATATCATCTTATTTGTATTACCTTATTGTTAACTGACTTCAAATGAAGTTATCAATAATAATAATAATACAAGTTATAGACCGCTATATATTTGAATATAATCGACTTAAATCCATTTTGAATGTTTTTTTTACTTTCTGTGAATTTGAAAAAGAATAAATCCCTAAAAGTAATTTAACTAAAAAGAAACCTGACAAACTTTCCTTTTATGCGATTATTCTCAAAAATTCAAAATGTGTGGCTTTGATAATCTTCTGTATATCTTGATTATTTCCCAACTGTTTCACAGATTCATTTTGTTTTAAGTAAAATTATAATTTTCACTTATTTCTGAGTCATAACGCTGGAGAGAATTAATTTAAATCAGACGAGAGGAGATCAGGGTTCTGCCGGATGTTCTGTTAGAGACGTGAGCGAAGAAGAGACTAGTGTCACTAGAGGACCAGCTGAGGACGGGAGCCGGTCTCCTGATCTGTGCCACAGCAAACCAGAGAATTCATTTCACAATTAAAGCCTCTCTGGTCGGGGTTAGTATTTTTTTTAAGACATTTATGTTAGTTTAGCCAAACACTGTGTTTCTCTGACTGTTTATCAATAAAGTGAAGACAAATTATTTGACAAAATTTAGACTTTATTTAATCTTTAGATCCTTGAAGATTTCCTTAAAGAGTCCCTATTCTTCTTTTTGTGGTATTCCTTCATTCACTTCCCGAACATAGTGACATCACTATGTAACACTCGCACTCCTATTGGCGTGATTGGCTGAGGGGACATCTCTAAGCGGTTGACCAATCACAGCAGAGTCGGCCAGCTAAATACTGATATACACCTGAACATCAGCAGGAGAGGACTCTTTAAAGTAGAGACACTACATACTGATATACACCTGAACATCAGCAGGAGAGGACTCTTTAAAGTAGAGACACTACATACTGATATACACCTGAACATCAGCAGGAGAGGACTCTTTAAAGTAGAGACACTACATACTGATATACACCTGAACTTCAGCAGGAGAGGACTCTTTAAAGTAGAGACACTACATACTGATATACCTGAACATCAGCAGGAGAGAACTCTTTAAAGTAGAGACACTACATACTGATATACACCTGAACATCAGCAGGAGAGGACTCTTTAAAGTAGAGACACTACATACTGATATACCTGAACATCAGCAGGAGAGAACTCTTTAAAGTAGAGACACTACATACTGATATACGTGAACATCAGCAGGAGAGAACTCTTTAAAGTAGAGACACTACATACTGATATACCTGAACATCAGCAGGAGAGAACTCTTTAAAGTAGAGACACTACATACTGATATACCTGAACATCAGCAGGAGAGGACTCTTTAAAGTAGAGACACTACATACTGATATATACACCTGAACATCAGCAGGAGAGGACTCTTTAAAGTAGAGACACTACATACTGATATACACCTGAACATCAGCAGGAGAGGACTATTTAAAGTAGAGACACTACATACTGATATACACCTGAACATCAGCAGGAGAGGACTCTTTAAAGTAGAGACACTACATACTGATATACACCTGAACATCAGCAGGAGAGGACTCTTTAAAGTAGAGACACTACATACTGATATACACCTGAACATCAGCAGGAGAGGACTCTTTAAAGTAGAGACACTACATACTGATATACACCTGAACATCAGCAGGAGAGGACTCTTTAAAGTAGAGACACTACATACTGATATACACCTGAACATCAGCAGGAGAGGACTCTTTAAAGTAGAGACACTACATACTGATATACACCTGAACATCAGCAGGAGAGGACTCTTTAAAGTAGAGACACTACATACAGATATATACACATACACCTGAACATCAGCAGGAGCGGACTCATACATTCGTAATTTCTTATATTATATTATATTGCATAGGAAATATTATATAATGGGACGAGTGTTTCCGTTAGCACCGGAATTACCTTTATTTTCTGAATAAAAGTCATATTTGCAGTTTGTATTAGGGACTGTTCACATGCCGCCTTTTTGCGAGCTCAAATCCACACACTGATTTCTCGTTGCACCGAATCACTCCAATATCGTGGGAAATCGGCCAAGCTATTTTTTTACTTGGAAGCCATACTATACATTTCTAATGTAAATCTTTTGGGTACTATTTTGGGTTCTCTACAGGACTCTATGAGCTGGCAAGTCTTTTATTTGGGGATTGGTTACAAAAAAATGAAAAGAAACGTTGGTATCGGCCCAGAATCAGTGCATCCATTATATAAAGTTGGAGATCTTAGAACCTATTGTAAGCCATTTTAGATAAAAGTGTCTGATAAATTAAATATAAAATGAAAAGTGATGGACAAAAACTTTCCTCTCGTGTAGCTGATGCAACCTCTCTTGGTATTGGGAGGGGGGGGGTTGCATCATCACCGTGTTAATGAAGTCCCTGAGGTCAGAGGTCAGCTGGCCGTCAGCATGTATGTTTGTCCTGTTGTCACGTTTAAAAGTTTCCACTTAGCCCCCCGAGGCGAGGACCAGTGAGACCAATCAGAGGCCGGTGATAACCTCCCCTCAGGCAAACACACACACACACACACACACACACACACACACACACACACACACACACACACACACACACACACACACACACACACACACACACAAGAATATGAGTGTAACAGTCAGTAAGTGTTGCATAAGCGTTTAAACTTCCAGACTCTAAAAGTTTAGAATCGATACGATAAACTTTATTATCCCCAAAAGGAAATGAGTTCTGGACTCTGTCCTGCAGTTCCACAAAAGATAAAAATCATAGAAACTACCAAGTACACGATAAATGACAATAACATATTAGCAGATGTGCAAATACACAATTTGCACATACACTTATACACAGACAACATACTGACAATGGCGACCTGTTGCACAAATCTCATGAGCAACATTTAAACTATACATTACATCTGTTTGTTGATAAGCTTATTGGCAGGAATGAGTGCTTCAACCGGTTTAACCTGTTTTAAGGGACCCTGAATCTCCTACTGGTGGCTTAGAGCTGGACCTCTGGGTAGAGGATGTGGTGGGGGGGATCATACTTGTTTTGTGTCTGTCTAATGATGGACTACTCATAGATGTTTTGGGGGGATTGATGTTTTTTTATTTTCATAGCAGTCTGTACCAGGCGAGTGATCTGTGATCTCAGCTGCACTGCCAGGTCTGGAGGGACTTGGCCTGGGTACTGAAAGTTCACTGGTTCGGACCAAAAGGCCAGAGGTGCCCTTGAGCAAGGCACTGAACCCCCATCTGCTTCTGATTAGCCCTTCGCTCTGCCACCTCTCAAATAATGCATGTGATCCTGTTTGTGCATGTGTGTTCATGAAGTGTATACAGCATCAGAATGAAACCCTGAATTTCCCCTCAACTCCACAGGCCCTAAGTCTACTCAAACATACCCGCTGTTGAAGACTATCAACACAGAGCTCTTTTTTTGGAGAGAAGAGTTAACGTGAGACTTTTTGACCTTACCCTCAATTTCCCATCAGAGCACCAACCACACAGGAAACGGGAAGTACCTCCTCCTCCTCTGCAGGGCTTTCCTGCTTCTGAAACTGCGTAGAGGAGGCATCAGGTTTGGCCTTCTTTGAACCTTGCCGGTAGGAGACAGTGATTCAAAGCGGTTAAAGAGCTAAGGCCCACCAGGCATGGCAGGATTTGAACCTTTTGGAAGTGCGCATGGATTCCAGACCTTGGTTAGAACCATCTTAGGGCCGCCCCTGGCCAACTTGGGGCCCCACTTAAAGTTATATGATGAAGCCCTTTGTGACGCGAGCGTCGACGGGGGGTGCTAGTGAAGCGTCGCAGCGGCGAAACTGTGGCGCGCTTACACTGCAGGTGCGCCGCAGATGAGGCTTCAGATGAGGCTCCCTCCGCAAAATGAAGCACCCTCCGCAAGATGAGGCCCCCTCTGCAAGATGAGGCCCCCTCCGCGAGGTGAGGCCCCACGCAGTCTGCGTGATCTGCCTGTAGGGAGGGAAGGCCCTGCATGGGTCTCTAGAAGCAGGACCCTCCTCACACGACATTCCTGCTGGGATCTGGAAAAAACAGATATATCATGCAGGTGGACAAAGATACATTTATTCAGCATGTCCTTGAGTACATTGTTCACTAAGGCTTTGAAGTCTGGAGGGGTGTTAGTCTGATCGAAGGACATGACCAAGTACTCATAACGGCCACTGGGGGTGCTTACATTCATCACCCTCCAGAATGCAAACCAGATCAAAGGCATTTCTAAGGTCTAGTTTGGAGGGATCAGTAATGCCTTTCATGAGTTCAAAAGCAGGTTAGATGGGTCAGAGGGGTTACCTATGTTTTACAGTGGTGTCGTTCAGACCACGAAATCCAATACAGGGGCGCAGAGACTTGTCTTTCCTGTCCACAAAACAGAACGCTGCTCCAGTGACTAAGAAGGACACCAAGCTCCAGAGAGTCACTTAGGGAAAGTCGTGCAAGGGACACTACATACTGATATACACCTGAACATCAGCAGGAGAGGACTCTTTAAAGTAGAGACACTACATACTGATATACACCTGAACATCAGCAGGAGAGGACTCTTTAAAGTAGAGACACTACATAATGATATACACCTGAACTTCAGCAGGAGAGGACTCTTTAAAGTAGAGACACTACATACTGATATACACCTGAACTTCAGCAGGAGAGGACTCTTTAAAGTAGAGACACTACATACTGATATACACCTGAACATCAGCAGGAGAGGACTCTTTAAAGTAGAGACACTACATACTGACATACACCTGAACATCAGCAGGAGAGGACTCTTTAAAGTAGAGACACTACATACTGATATACACCTGAACATCAGCAGGAGAGGACTCTTTAAAGTAGAGACACTACATACTGATATACACCTGAACATCAGCAGGAGAGGACTCTTTAA